AAATTAATCTCCTACATCAGACCCCTTCTCCCACTCAGTCCAGCAACAGCTTCTTAGTAACTTCTCTGACTATCTCTGTATATGTACTGACATATAGATAGGCATATATAAATATTTTTTTCTTATCATAAATGTGGGCATCCTATATAGTAATTCATCTTTTTTTTTTTTTTTCTTTTTTTAAATGGTGGAGCTTTTTCCACAGGATTGGAGGGTAACCTTCATAGGTTTATTTATTTTTTAGAATTATGTATTTAATTTTATTTATTACTATTATTTTTCAATTTGCTATAGGGTACACATGCTCACCAGAAAGAGACAGAGATAGAGAGATAGAGAAAGTGGGAAAGCAAGCTGCCAGGTCTGGGACTCGAACCATGGTCAGGCATGTGGGAGTCCAGCACCTTTGAACCACTACACCACCTGCTGGCCCTAGATATATCATATTTTTTTAAATCAGTCCCTACTGATAGACATCTGGGTTTCTTATTTTTCACTGTTAAAAGCAATCTGTAGGGGGGCTGGCAGGTGGCAGTGGTGGTTAAGGTCACTGGACTACCACATGGTTCAAGTCCCAGACCTGGCGGCTTGCTTTCTCACTTTTCCTCTCTCCTTGTCTCTCTCACTCTGTCCGTCTCTGGTCAAATTAAATAAATAAATAAATAAAGTTAAATAAAATAATTCTTTTTTTAAAAAAAGGAATTTGTAGGGATGAACATACTTATTGTGTATATGTGAAAAGTGTATCTGTGGCAATAATTCCTAAAAGAATTTCTGGATAAAGAATGTGGACCTTTTTTTTAATGCTAGAGGATACATGTGCCCTCCAGAAAGATAGAAGGAGAAAGCACAGCCCAAATGGGGTGTGATCATGCCACAATCCCCTCTCCATTTCTCCATCTTACCAAGATTTAGGGCATGCATGCACATGCACCTAGTGTGTTTCTCAAGCTGCTGAAGTTGAGATTTGAATCATAGTCAGCCATGTGGGAGCCAGCTCCCTTAACTATTAGGCTACGGGCTGGCCCAAGTATGTATTTTTGACAAATAGTCTCAGTGTTTCCTTGTCCCAAAATATGTACTAATAATATAAGCTCTTTTCAAATATTAAAGCGAAATACTCCTTTTTTCATTTCCTCCTCCTGCTCTATTACCAAACTTTGCTATCTTAACCACTCTGGAGGAAAAATTAGTATTTAAATCAAATCAATTTAAATCAAATTTAAATCAAATTTAAATTTAAATCTAATTTAAATCAAAATTAGAATTTGATTTCAGAATTTCAATTTGATTTCAATTAAAAATTTTGCATTTTCAGTGAGGTAGAATAACTATTCATGTGTTTTTATGTCTCTCACATTTTTCTCTGAATTGTCTGTGTGTGTGTGTATCACATGCTTTTTTTTTTTTTTCAGTTATTGCTTTTTTTTCTCTATCACATTTCTTATGCCCAAAGGGATTTTTTATTTAAATATGTCTTTATTAGTGGAGTTTTCTTGGAGCCAGCAGGTGGTGTAGTGGTTAAGGCACTGGACTCCCACATGGCTGACCACGGTTCAAGTCTCGGACCCAGTGGCTTAAAACTCACTGGGCGCATGTACATGCATGCCCAAAATCCCAAGAGAATGGAGAAGGGATTACAGCGTGGCCATTCCTCATGAACGGTGATTTCTCACCTCACTTTCTCCCTCTCTGTCTGTCTCTCTGGTGAGCTCATGCCCTATAGCAAAAATCTCTGGGGGGGGGGGGAGGGGTTTTGCCAGCAGTTAGTGTAATGTCTATGTCGCTGAACTCCCATGTAGTCGACCATGGTTCAAGTCCTGGACCCGGTGCCTTAAACTTATGCCAGGCGCATGTACATGTGTGCCCAAGATCCTGAGAGAATAGAAGAGAAGGGATTGTGGCATGGCCATCCTCCCTGTGGGATGATTTCTCGCTTTCTATCTCTGTCTCTCTCTGTCTTTCTGGCAAGCGCACACGCCCTATAGCAAAAACCTCTCCAAAAAATAAAAAATAAAATTTATACTGGGTGTGTTTGCATGATTACCCAGACCCCAAGAAGAGAATGGAGGAGACAGGATTGTGGCATGGCCATTCCCTTTAGGGGATGATTTCTTACTTTCTTTCTGTCTCTCTGGTGAGCACATACTCCCAATAGTAAAAATCGCCCTCAAAAATAAAGAGGGGGACCAGCAGCGTAATGGCTATGTCACTGTGTTGCTGGATTCCCATGTAGTCAACCACAGTTTAAGTTCCTGACCCGGTGGCTGAAACTCACGCTGGGCACATGTGCGTGTGTGCCCAAGATCCCAAGAGGACAATGGAGGAGAAGGGATTGACATCCCCATGGGGGTGATTTCTCACTTTCTATCTCTCTGTTTCTCTCTGTCTGTCTGGCGAACATCCACGCCCTATAACAAAAACCTCTCCAAAAAATGAAAAATAAAGAAAGGGGCTGGCAGGTGGCATGGTGGTTAGGGGCGCTGGACTCTCACATGGCCGACCACGGTTCAAGTCCTAGACCTGGCAGCTTGCTTTCTCACTTTTCCTCTCTCTCCCTCTCACTCTGTCCCTCTCAGATCAAATTAAAAAATAATAAATAGATGAATAAATAAAATAAAGTAAAATAATTCTTTAATTTTTTTTTAACTAAGAAAAAAGGAAGGAAAAAACCTGCCTGGGGACCAGCAATTGGCATAATGGTTACATTACTGGGATTCTACCTGGCCAACCATGGTTTGCGTCGCGTACCCAGTCTTGAAACTCATGCCAGTCATGTGTGTGCGTGCCCAAGATCCCAGGAGGAGGAGGATAGAGAAGGGGTTGTTGTGTGACCATTCCCCTTGGGGGATGATCTTTCTCATTCATTCTTTCTCTCTCTCTCTCTCTCTTTCTCTGATCAGAACACACATCCTAAGGCAAAAACCTCTTAAAAAAAAAAAAAGAATGAAAGAAAGAAACCTGTCAAACGCTCCCTATTTAACTGATACCATTGGGCTCCATTCAACAAAATGTATGCTAAGTAATGTGTGAGATATAAAGATGTCTAAGCTGGGCGTTCCCCATCCTGGAGGAGCTTTCATTTGGAGAGGAACCATGGCAGGAGCATACATCACGGCAGAGCACGCTTCTCCGTTTTCAGGTGGCCTTTGTAAATGACTCTGCAAGAGCAGAAACGTGTACTTTTTAGACCCCAATTGCTTGCATTGCCCGGTCCAGGAGCCCAGGGCTAAACCTAAGGCTTGTGGGTGTGAAAAATTCCTCACACTGGGTTCTGACACTGCTGTTGACTCTGCTGGTGGGGGTTATAAGTGTACTGGGAACATCAGACTCTCGAACAAATTCTTCAGCATTACTTAATCTGATACCCAACGTCTGGGTTGTTCTACAGCCTTTAGCACACATTGGAGCTCCAACCCGTGAGGGTGAGGTATTTTCTGAAGTATTCAAATGGACTTCTTATCAGAAGTACTTAAATGATCTGATCTTACAGATGATTAAGGCTGTGGTTCAGAATTCTAGTGCCCTGGTCTCTGTCCGTATAACAAATTATTCTCGTCAGAGGCTAACTATCCAAAAAGGGCCAGGACAACAGATTAAGTAAGATAATAATGAAGGGTCTTGTCTTCAAGAAATCTGTTTATATGTGGAAGAAATTTCCTGGGCTCATTTGTTTTATTTTTTAAAAATTTGCTATAGGATGGGACCAGCAGGTGGTGTGGTGGTTAAGGTGCTGAACTCCAACATGGCCAACCTCAATTCGAGTCCCGGGCCTGGCGACTTGCTTTCTCACTTTCTCTGTCTCTCTCTAGTGAATACATATGCCCTATAGCAAATTTTAAAAATAATAATAATAATAATAATAAATAAAATTAAATAAATAGGGTGTGTGTACTCATCAGAGAGAAAGAGAGAGAGAGAGAGAACCCTGCTAGGAGAGGAGGGAAGGAGGATGGCCATGCCTCAATAACTTCTCCATTCCCCTCTTGTGATTCTGGGCATGCATGCACATGCACCTAATGTTTTTTAAGCCACTGGGTCCAGAACTCAAACCACACAGCTGGCCATATAGGATCTAATTGCTTTAACCACTATGCCATCTGGCTGGGCTTATTTATTTTTTATAATCTTGTTAAAGCCAAATTTTGGCTTCTGAGGAAATCAGAAACCCACTGAAGTCCATGTCTGTTTTCTCCACAGTTCTTTCTACCATGCTGAATATAACCAGAGTTGTAATTAAAAGTTGATGATAGATTTTGTTTTTTAACTCATCCTTTCATCTTTTTTTAAATTTTCTTTCTTTCTTTTTTTTTTAGTTTTGCTATAGGACACACATGCTCACCTTGGTGGGTGGAGGTGGGAAAAGTGAGAAATCATCCCCTTGTGGGGATGGCTATGCCACAATCCCTTCTCTATTCTCCTACTGGGATTTTGGTCATAGGCATTCACATACACAGTAGTTTTCAAGCCAATGGGCCCAGGGCTCAACGTTGGCTATGTGGTATCCAGCTGCCCTAACCGCCATGCCAACTGCTGCCCCTGTTGATAGATTTTTGACATTGAAGACTGTTTGTTCTTACCTAAGAACTGCCTGATTAGTGGAATAGAGGTGAAAACAGGCAGGGAAGCCCAGAAACTCAAACTGCCTCAGCTGCTAAGTGGAGCCAACTGAAAGAGTCCCTTTCATTACCTCCAGCAATGTCTTTTGCCCCTCACCTCTATGTTACCACCAGCAGCTACTGGCTTCTGTCAGGTTGGGGGAGATGTGTCACAGCCAGGGCCCATCCTCAGGAAGGGGTTAGTAGATAAGAAGTCAGGAAGGATGGTAAGATAAAGGGAATTATGGTGACAAATACAGGCCAGTGCCACTACCCAATCTTGGAGCACACTCATAGTCACTTCACATCTTTTTAGAGTTCTAACTAAAGTTGCTCCTATATTTAAGCAGCGTTTATAGTCCCAACTATGGAATTAATAAAACAATTTATTTTGTCTTTCAGGTATGGGCACTAGAAAACGAATTCTTCCATCAAGCTTAACTGTTTTGTTACTCACTTAATGACTTGCCCTCCTGTTACTTAATTATAAATTAGATAGAACCATGTCTTTTTTGCTTTACCTTTTAATTTGCTGTTCTTGGCAGCCATGTTGTATTCTGTGTCAAATAAAGTCCTGTTGGATTCTCGAACAAATGCTGTTCTTTGTGTATGTGAGAAAAAGTGAACATGAAGGAAGGATGCCCTCTTGCATGACTGGAAAGCTAGCTTTGGAAAGTGAGATGTTTGTTCAGTTTTCCTGTGATTGTGTAGCTTGGTCACCAGGATTTCAACTGAGCATGGGGTGGTATGGCTTGCTTTCACTCAAAAAAGGTGGTCACCCCTGTCTCCTTCCCTTGGTAACAACAGTTGGCTGAATGAGGGAAGAACATGGGATTTGGAGTTACCACACTCAGCTACAAGTCCTGGTTCCACCACCTGGCTACTGAGTGTGATTGTGGGCCAGTCGTCTCTCTGTTCTGAGCTTTCCTCTAGAATGTAGGCTGCAAGGACTCAGTGGCACCATGGAGGCATAGAAAGAGGCTTTGTAAAATGTAAAACCATCATACAAGTATTGGTCTGGACATTGACATATTCCCTTCTCTTTAAAAAGCTTTAAAAAGGGACCAATGGATGGCGTAATGGCTATGTCACTGAAGAAGTGGACTTGAGGGACCAGCAGTTGGTGTAATGGCTATGTTGCTGGACTCCCACATGGTCGACCACAGTTCGAGTCCTGAACCCGATGGCTTAAACTCATGCCGGGTGCGTGTGCGTGCATGCTGAAGATACTGAGGGGAGAATGGAGGAGAAAGGATTGCGGTGTGGCCATCCCCCCTGGGGGTGATTTCTCACTTTCTGTCTCTCTGTCTCTCTGTCTGGCAAGTGCACGTGCCCTATAGTAAGAAAAAAAAAAAAAACTCCAAAAAAAAAGAAATGGACTTGAGAATCTGTCTTCTATTAAGTCACATATAAGAGACTTGCAAAAAATGTAAAACAATGTTAATCAATTTTTTGTTTTGAAAAAGAATTTTAATGAAAGTATGTTAATATGTGATTAGTTTTTGTTTTTAAATCATTTTTTTTAATTCTCAGTTTTTATTTTTATTATGGCAAATACCTATAAGTTTAAGTCACATAAAAACTCTTGGGGGGCCTTAATTTTTCGGATTATAAAGGGGTTTTGAGTCTTAAAATATCCAAGAATCGGCTAGCAGGTGGCATAGTGGTTAATGGCACTGGATTCCCATATGGCTGACCATAGTTTGAGTCACAGACCTGGTGGTCTGCTTTCTCACTTTTCCTCTCTCTCACTCTGTCTCAATCTCTCTGATCAAATTAAAATACAATAGTGGGACCAGCAATTAGCGTAATGGCTATGTTGCTGGACTCCCATGTAGTCAACCGCGGTTCAAGTCCCGGACCCGGTGGCTTAAACTCATGCCAGACGCGTGTGCGTGTGTGCCCAAGATCCCAAGAGGAGATGGAGGAGAAAGGATTACAGTGTGGCCATACCCCCCGGGGGGTGATTTCTCACTTTCTATCTCTCTGTCTTTCTGGCAAGTGCATGCACCCTATAGCAAAAACCTCTCAAAAAAAAAAAAAATTAAAACAATAGTAATAATAACTTTAAAAAGTTCAAGAACCAAGAATTACTAGCTTAGTAATTAAGAACTTCGAACTCCTATCCAGGCTCCATCATCTACTGGTTAATGGAGTTGGATTCCACATGACCAGCAGCAGTTTGAATCCCAGCCCTGGCAGCTTGCAAAACACAGGGTGCATGTGCACACAATACTCAAAATCCTGACAAGACAGCAATGAAGAAGAGATTATGGTGTTACTATCCTCCATTAGGGGGTGCTTTTCTCCCTTGTCTCTCTGTCTCTGGTGAGTGCGTGTACTTTCTGGAAACTAAAAAGGAATAAAAAATAGTGACTGCCCGGAAAACCACATGGTTGGCATGGAGGGTAACTTCCAGCAGAATGGGCATGGTGTGAGCTGACAGAAGACAGTGTCTACTAGGACTTGCTAGGAAGGTTGTTCCTAAGTCAAAATGTCTCTTTGGGACATATATTCAGTTATTCTGGTGTATCAAACTGGGAGACATAAAAGCCTTGGCTGAAAAAGTCTAATATTTGAAGTCAGCTAACACATCTACCTCTGCCCCTGAGTTTCACGGTTTCTCACGTGGTGCAGTTTCTTGACTTCTCCCCTCCCAGCAGCCCTCTTCTGTATGCCCTCCAATTGCCAGTGTCCAAGTGATGTCCAATCAAAAACTGCACTTTGTGCAGGCTAAGATGGAGACTGTTATCTTCAGACCGGTTGCCACTCACTGCAGACCCCTAGACCATGGCTTCTCAAAAATCTGGAGCCTACACATCACTTGAGGATCTTGTAAAATTCAGGTTCTGAGTTGCCCTGGAGTGAGACCTGAGAGTCCACATCTCTGCTGTCTACTCAGAGGGCGCTGGTTCTGCTAGCCCATGGGCCACCCCAAATTGGTGCAGTTGACTGATAGCCTACTATTGATAAATCGGCATGTAGCTTTCCCAAGACAGTGGCTGAGCCACTCATCTTTCTTAAGTTCTTGTGGGACTCTTTTTTTAACCTAACTGCAGAATTTTAAAGAAATATTCTTGAAACCAGCAGCTAGTGTAATGGTTAAGTTGCTAGACTCCCATATTACCAACTGTAGTTCAAGTCCCGGACCCAGCAGCTTGAAACTCACACTAGGCACATTTGTGCACATGGCCAAAGTCCCAAGAGGAGAATAGAAAGACTGCAGTGTGGGCATCCCCCCACTGAGGGGTGATCTCTCCCTTTCTGCCTCTCTGTCTCTCTCCAGCAAGTGCATGTGCCCTATAGCAAAAATCACTCTTTAAAAAAAAGTTACTGAAGTTTATCTTGATTATGATAGAGTGCACATGCATTTACTCGAGAGAGAGAAAATAGACAAGCACCTTTGATAGGGTCTTGTCACGCCATGATCCCCTTCCACCAGCCTCTCAGTCTGTCAAGATCTTGGGCACCCTCTCACCTGGCATATTTCAGGTTAACCAGCCAAGATCTAAACCCCTGGTTAGCCTTGTGGCTTCCAGCACTGTAGTGCAGTGCAGTAGGCTACACCTGAGCCACCAAGGCTGGGCCAATAATCGAATCTTTCATTTACATCTTAAATGTCATCGTAGTGGTTTAGGACTTTGTGTAGCTTAAGGATTATCAATTCATAGTTGGCATAGAGGGTAACAGTTCAGGCAGAATGGGGATAGTGTGAGCTGACTGCTAGTAACTACTGAGACTTGCCAGGGAGGTGGTTATAATTAATGGAATTACTACATACCTACTGGATGCCAGGCCTTAGAGACACAGAGCTGAGGAAGATGAAATTATTGCCCTCAAGTAGCCCACAGTTTGGTGGGTGTGGTGTTTTGCTTTGTTTTGCTTTGTTTTGTTTTGTTTTGTTTTGTTTTGAGAGGTTTTTGCTGTAGGGCGCATGTGCTCGCCAGAGAGACAGAAAGGGAGAAATCATCTCCCAAGGGGGGTGGCCATGCCGCAGTCCCTTCTCCTCCATTCTCCTCTCGGGATCTTGGGCACGCATGCACACATGCCTGGCGTGAGTTTAAGCTGCCAGGTCTGGGACTTGAACCACAGTTGACTACATGGGAGTCCAGCGACATAGCCATTAGACCAACTGCTGGCCCCGAATAGCCCACGGTTTAATAGGGGAGATTGCTGAGAGGATAAAATAAATGAGTGTTGGAACCTAATTCTGGAGAGATTGTCTGAGGGTGCTTCTTCTCTCATTTTCCTTATGACAACTCCTGTGCCCTGCACAGCTCCTGTTCTTCCACCTGCCCTGCAGATGCTGTAAGAACAGGGTTCTGATTTGCCTGGGAGTCCTCATCCTCACCTGCAGGCACAGTGGTGTCCTAAACCCTCTGAAGGGCCCCTGTGAGCTGATTGTCTGCATCTCTTCCCAAATGCCCTTTTCATACAGTTTACATCTGTAGCTTGAAATTGGCCATAGTGAGTGTATTTACACCACTGATCAGAAAATGTTCCAAATCAGAGTTGCTTTTTTCTGTTGTCAGAGCCTGTTGGTCGTTTACCAGCACGTCACTGTGCAGTTACCATCTTTAACAAAACACTGTCCAAACGTGTCCACTCTATGGCTGGGTGTGCATTTCCCAGACACTTCACACTCAGTATGTCAAGAAAACAACTGAGCTGGGGAACAGTAGATGGCATAAAAGTTACATCACTGGACTCGCACATAGCTGACTATGGTTCGAGTCCCAGACCTGGTGACTTCAAACTCAGGCCAGGTGTGTGTGCCTGCATGCCCAATATCCCAAGAGGAGAATGGAGGAGAAGGGATTGTGGCGTGGCCATCCCTCTTGGGGATCTTTTCTTGCTCTCTCGTGTCTCTGGCGAGCACACACACCCAAGCAAAAAATCTCTATAAAACAAGCAAACAAAACAAAAAGACTGAGCTATCCTCATTTTCCCAAAACACACCTTGCCTGGTTCATAGCATTACCTTTTGTGCAGTTCCCGAAGCCAAGAAATCCAAAAGGGAGCTGGCAGGTGATGTGGTGGTTAAGGACACTGGACTCCCACATGGCCAGCTGCAGGTCGAATCCCGGACCTGGCGGCGTGCTTTCTCACTTTCTCTCACTCCCTTTCTCACTCTGTCCCTCTCTGGTCACATTAAAATAAATAAATAAATAAATGGATAAATAGTTAGATAAAATAATTCTTAGGAAAAAACTTCCAAAGATATCCAAAAGGCGTTTTAGAGCCTCGCCTCTCTTTTGCCTTCACATCTAACTACTCACGGAACGCTACTTGCCTTGCCGTGGTGCTCTCACTCCAATCTGTACCGTTTTCCATTCCCACCACCATGGACAGAGTTCAAGACTCTTCCTTCTCTCCCAGATGATTGTGGTTCCCTACGACTGGTCACACTGTCATTACTCTGTTATATCCCAGTGTGTCCTTTTTATTTATTTTAATTTGCTATAGGGTACTTGTGCATGCTAGAGAGACACAGTAAGAAGTGAAAGTGAGAAATCATCCCTCAGGGGGATGGTCATGCCACAATCCCTTCTCCATTTGCTTCTTGGGATTTGGGGCACATGTGCACATACTTC